AAAAGAAAGAAATGGTAGGTCTGTTAGAGATGGATATGAGAAAGGCTGGGTAGAGACATTTAGAATACATGGTACATACAAAAGAGTATTATTGAATAGATAGAAATAGGAGTCTCCAGCAGATACATTTCTACTCAACCACTTTTGCACTCTTGTCAGTTGCTGTTTGTTAGACCTGGTTTTTTAATCACTTTATTCTATGACTTTTAATATTGATCATACTATTAGTGGTGGAAAATATGTTCCACTATTCATAAGAAATCATTTGTTTCTATTCTGAAAGGTTCATAGATTTCTGTATTGATGGTCCAGAGAGGAAGTATAACATTTAATATGTGTACAAAAACTGAGTTTTCTCCTGACTTTCTCCTATGAGATAGTGAAAAATTTATTCAGTGTTATATAAACTAAAACTATCCCCACCAATCTCTTTCCTACTGTGCTAGATTTTTGACATAAAGATAAATGACATCCCCTACCCTTCAATTGCTCAAAGTTTAACTGCATAAAGATGCTGACGAAATGTACAAAGAATCAGTGAGAAAAGAAAGTAGAATCCCAGTTGATAGTTTTTGACTCTCCTACTTGAACTAAGATAATAAACTTCATAGCTCCATAGCTGAAGTATTTCAGTTGGGGAACATTCAACTTACCTATTCCAATTACCTTGCTGGTCCTGAATTTGAGAAAGCAAAGCCCCAAAAGTACATCTTGTATCCACTGAGCCCAGCAACACTCACTAAGCTGGGCTCCCTTGCTAATTGGGCATGATCAAGGATGGAGGGTCCATTGCCCCTTCAAATCCAGTAAGCAATGAGACCTGAGGTTCTATGCTCTAGAATGACAGGAACACAGACTTAAGGCACTGTCTGATAGTTATTCTTGTATGGTCTGAAAAACTCTGAGTGCTCAAGAGTGCCCTAGGTGTTGTTGTATAAGCACCATAGGTTATAGATATATCCCACTTCTTTCCAGAATATTACACACCTAAAAAACCACCATGTCCTCATGCAAACACTCCTATAGAAGCATCAGTTCTACTGATCCAGTCCTGTATTATGTATTTCAGAAAATCCCACCATGTATCTCCTTTCCATGTGATCAGAGGGAAAATGACAGCAGTTTCTCCCTTAAAAGCAGGCCTCCACCAATGATATCACAATATGCTGAAGAAATTCATTGTCTAAATTCAACAAATGTCCCAGTAGATTCTGATTTTTTCTCATTAAGTAATTGTTAATTCCTGAATGTATTTTTCTTTACATTTTTGTGTGTGTTATATGCTAAGGATGTCTTTAATGAAATAGACTTTTGGCCATAGAGATATCAGCAAGATAATAGAATAGGAAGCCCCAGATTTTGTTCCTCCACAGCAATACTGACTTAACAATATATATGGACTGAGTTGCCTTTGTGAGAACCCCATGGGCCAATTAAGAGATAACAGCACTTGGAGGAAACACAAAGCCAAGAAGATGTTCATCAACGTGGAATTGGAAATTTGTTGCAAAAACTAAAAATAGAACTACCATAGGATCTAGCAATACCACTCCTAGGCATATATCCAAGGAATGTGAGTCAGGTTACAGCAAAAGCATCTGCACACCCACATTTATTCCAGCATTATTCACAATAGCTAAGCTATGGAAACAGCCAAGATGCCCCAATGCTGATGGATAGATTAAGAAAATGTGGTATATATGTACAATTGAATTTTATTCAGCCACAAAGAAGAATGAAATTTTGTCATTCACAGGTAAATCAGTGGAACTGGAGAACATCATCTTAAGTGAAGCAAGTCAGATTCAGAAAGACAAAGAACACATGTCTTTCTCTCATATGTGGAAGATAAATACAAATACAAACACAAGCAATGTCATATATACATATATATGCAGAACATGTTTCAAAAAGTGAGACTTTTAAGGAAGCCAAAGGGAGGAGGAACATAAGAAAAGAATTATAGAGAGTGAATAATATTGAAATACATCACTACTACTGTGTAGGAACAAGACACAGTGAAACACATTGAAAGCTGCTTAACAATATTGGGTAAGAGAAATGAATAAGGAACAGTAATAGAGTTAGATTGATTAAAGTGCAATATTTTTACAGTTAAAATACCAACAAAAAACCTCTCTGAGCAATGAGCAAACACTAAAACAATTAAGAACAAAAACGTAAAACAAGTCATGTTGAAGGGAGAGTAATAGCGGGAGGGTTGTAAATGAAGAGGCTAAAGGAGGACTAATATGGTCAATGTGTTTTCTACAATGTATGAACATGAAACATTGAAACCTGTTGAAGTTATTTTAAGAAGCAGGAAGAGGGAGATTAATTGAGAGGATATACAGAATATATATAAAAATATACATATATGTGTGTGTCACAATGAAACCTCCTAGATAGCTATCATATACTAATAAAAAAATTTTTAATTGTTGCATTTGCTAACCAAAACTCTTACCCCTCTCAGAAGCAGCCAGGTAGAGTCAGGAGAATATCCCCAACTCCCATCTTCTATCTTGGGGAGAAAGAGAAGGTTGACTGTTCATCTAAAGTATTGTCTTTTACACAGGCTGCCTTAGAACTGGTTTATGCTTTGCCTGACTCTGATCATGGGTGAATGGAGTGGCAATACACTTGGAATGGCAGAACATAGGACCCAAAGATCAAAATTAAGTCAGCTTCACACACCAGAAAGACTGCAGAACACAGACAACAGGTGGGGCAAGAGATGATGGGCTCTTGAGAACAAATGCAAACTTCTTAAACTGGAAAATTATACACAACTTTGCTCTGAAAAAATTTGAGAGTCACCCAGAACTTCTAGCCAGTCTATTAGTTAAAGTCTTTCCTTGCATAAAGCCAGTCTTAAAAAATAGGAGAGGTGTCTATCTTTTTCAAACACACAAGCATCAACAAAGAACACACCAAAAAAAGACACAAAGCATACAAAGAAACAGGGAAACATAACCCAAGCAAAGAAATAAATGGAATATTCATAATCCAACTATTAAAATGTCATTTTCAAAAGTGGAAGACAGGAAGGTAAAACAGGTCCTGTGTGGGGGTTGGTACCAGTGGGAGGGGGAGGATATAAGGAAAGGATGTAGGAAGGTGAATTGTAGTGGAAATATATGTAGGCATGTATGAAAATGTAAAAAATGAGGCATGTTGCAACTATTCCAGGAATGGGAGGGGGGATAAAGGAGAAAGATGGTGGGGGTAAATTCAACTATGATAAATTGTAAGTACTTCTACAAATGTCACAATGTACCCCCATTACAACAATATGGTAATAATAAATAAATAAATAATCTCTTAAAGAAATAGAGATCTGGACTGGTGGAGTGACTCAAGTGGTAGAGTACCTGCCTAGTAAGTGTGAAAACTTGAGTTCAATCCCAGTACTACAAAAAAAAAGAAAGAAAGAGAGATCTATGAGCTATCTGACAACAAATTCAAAGTAGCCAACTGGAAGATGGACAATGAGCTAGAGGAGAACAAACAAAGTCAAGGAAACAATGTGCAAACAAACCAAGAACATTAACAGATACATAAATTATTAAAAAGGCAAAAATTTTAGGATTGAATAATACAATAACTAAACTGAAATATTCATAGAGTGTTCATGGCAAACTTTATCAAATGGAAGGAAGAAGCAGTAAACTTCATAACAGGTGATTTGAAATTATTGAGCACATGAGCAGAAGAAAAAAGAATGAGCAAAAGTGAAGAGACTCTAAGAGACTAATGAGATACTGTCGTGCTAAAAATTTTTGCATTAAGGGTGGTCTAGAAGGGAAAGAAAGAGAAAGATATCTCATTTAAAAAGTAATGACTGACATTTTCAGCTTTCAAAATCTGAAGAAGAACATGGGCATACATAGCAAAAACTCTATTAAATCCAATTGTGATCAATCTGAAGAATCCACAATTAGAGATATTATAGTCAAAACATCAAAAGTCACAGACAAAGAGAGAATCCTCTGAAAGGAGTGGGGAAATGGTAACTCATCACCTCCAAGGACATATCCAGAAGATTCAGCAGATTTCTCAGGGGAAACCTTAGGTGCCATAAAGATGCCCATGCTAAGGTCATGCAGCATTTCAGTGAATCACAATGTCATGTGTATGCCCTTTACCAGTGGAACCCGGGTGACCGAAGCCGGAAGAGATGAGCGGACTACTGAGTCCTGCTCAATAGCCACTTTAATGAAGCATACTACTGCTTTTATAAACTCCTTTTACACAGAGAGCATGTGGTCAGAAAAAGCACGCCAAGTATTACATGTCAAGGTTACACTAGTACAGGGAAGCACAGTTAAAATTAACTCTTTGTTATGTCTCCTTTAAAATGGGAACAGAGAAGCAGGAGAAGCCCATGGTCAGCATAACTTCATATTTACATCTGAAGGACACGAAGCCATCAGGAAACCTTAAAGACTGTTTTTCTGGAAGTCTGGCCTTCTCACAAGGCCAGATACCAACTCACACAGGCAAGGTCCCACTACTGGCTCCAACAGTCATGCATTAGTATTTTTAAAGATCCTAGGCTATTTCATAAAGACAAGCTCAAAGACCAGTAATATATGTCTTCATAGACAACCTGCATAAATCAGTGAAATAAATGCAAAATTTGTATGATAAATACACATGAACTATTAAAAATATGGGAAGTTCAGATACATATAAATAGTCTTGTTCATCTTTCTGGCATTCCTGTATTATTAATAATAAATTCCAGAAACTCCATAGGTATAACAAGACTGAGGAATGCAGTAACCAAAATGTTCAAAGGAAGATACAGAATGTTCCCCTAAGGTCTCACTAAAAACAGATCTGAAAAGGCAATGTTTGGATATTAAGTATGAAGAGGAATGTAAACCATAAGGATTACAAAACAATGTGACAGCAGAGGTGAAATTTGCAGGTCTAGATGGTGTTTTATTGCCTTTTCCAATATGCACTCCAAAAGGATGGCACAGATGCTGAGATTAGACTTTCCTCACAAGTCTCCACATGGCCCTTTTCATGTCCCTGTTTCTTAGGCTGTAGATGAAAGGGTTGAGCATGGGAGTGACCACAGTGTATGCTATCGAGGCCACGGCACCTTTCCTAGGAGACATTGACACAGATGAACTAAGGTACACACCAAGACCTGTCCCATAAAATAAGCAGACAACTGACAGGTGAGACCCACAGGTGGAAAAGGCTTTATACCTGCCACCTGAGGATGGAACTCTAAGAATGGAGGAAACAATTTTATAGTAAGAGGAAAGGATTCCTGAGATAGGAAGAAAACCAGATATAGCACCAACAAAATACATGACTATGTTATTGGTAAAGGTATCAGAACAGGCAATGCTGAGGAGTTGAGAAGGGTCACAGAAAAAATGAGAAATTTCCATATTCTTGAAGTAGGTAAGTTGTAATACTATTGAATTATGCAGCTAGGAGACCAAAAGGCTGATGAGGACTGACACCAAAACCAACAAGCCACAAAGGCATAGGTTCAAAATGATCTGGTAGTGCAGGGGATGACAGATGGCCACAAACTGGTCATAAGCCATCAAAGTCAGAAGCAGACTATCCAAACAACCAAAAAGCATAAAGAAAGACATCTGAGTCAGGCAGCCCTCATAGGAGATGGCTCTGCTGTGAGTTTGAATATCTGCAGTCATCTTTGGGACTGTGGTGGTGGTGAAACATATGTCAGCCAAGGACAGGATGGAGAGGAAGAAGTACATGGGGGTGTGGAGATGGGAGTCAGAGCTGACAGCCAGGATGATAAGCAGGTTCCCAAGCACTGTAACCAGGTACATGGACAGGAACAGGCCAAAGAGGATGGATTGAAGATCTGGATCCTCTGAGAGTCACAGAAGATGGAATTCTAAGACATGTGTTAGATTTTGCTCTTCTGTATTGTCTGGACACCTTTTGAAATGAGAGGACCATTGAAAAAGGAAATCAGTGTTTGAATTAAATCAATTCAAGATTAAAGTTCTCACACTTGAGGACCAAATACTCCTCAGTATTTCTCCATTGTGACAATCCCAATCTTCCTAGAACTCTTTAATCACTTGTTTTTATGTTATTCACCTCCTCCATTTACATTAGAGTTACTTGAATGAGCTGTATTTGGATAGCAAAAACATTCTATATAATTCTGTGATCAGAGTAAAATACTATTTTAAGACCAAGTATAGAATAAGAAATATCCTTTCCCCTTTGGGAAAAAGTTCCAAATCAAAGAAATATAAGAAACATACCTATTTTATTCAAGTGCCTGAAACAAATGTGCCTCATATACAATATTGATAAGCTCTATAATTGCTAAAGCTACAATATATGAATTCTAAATTAAAGCCAAATGTTTATAAAAATAAAGCATTTTATGTGCAAGTTATTTTCATTGATTTTCATCATTTTTTGTTTCTTGACTTTGCTCCTTTATGGAGATAAGTGCTCACTAAAACTATGTCTGTTGATAAAGCAAGAACACACAGGAACTGGCAAGAAGACAGACTCAGGCATGGACCCCCAAGCAGATAATGAATCTGGGAAGAAGAGATGCACAGATACAGCTGGACTTGGACCACCAAACTTTAAGGCTGGAGGACACCAGTTGTTTATTTACAGTTGTATTGATTTGAGAGCTCAAGGCACAGAGCTCATAATTAGCCAAAATGGTTCATGTTGTCTCAAATCTCTGAGGACTTGTTAATGTTAATGGAACAGGAACATAAAAAAAGGTAGTACTCTTTGTAGGATCTTGGATCTTCCACTTTTCAGGAGGAAACTCACTGCACTCTTCTCTCCTGACTTTCAAAGGTCATAAATCTTAATAATACTAAAACTCACAAGTCGGCCATGGTGGCACATGCCTATAAAACCAAACCTGGAAGGCTGAGGCAGAGGGATTGAGAGTTCAAGGCCAGACTGGACTACAGAGTGAGACCCTGTCTCAAAAAAAGGTAAAAAATAAAATTCTAATAGACTTTTTCAATTTAAACAAAATCAATGTGTTAGTTTATCATTAAAAGCATTCAAATCACCAAGAAATTTTAGTAGAATTAGATGTGGATCAATAATCACATAGCAATTTTTATATTTTCAGTCAAGAGTTTTGCCACTAAGTAAACTTTTTTCACAGTTATGTTTTTAAATTATTTTATTTTATTTTTATTAGAGAATATTACACATACAGGATTCACAGGATATTTTCCCACAAATTTGTGTCATGTTCTTGGATGATATTCATCCCCTGTATTACTCTTTCTTATCCCTGTCCCTTATCTCCCTTTGTTTTACAATTTTAATGGGTTTCATTGCTTTGTTTTCATGCATGCATCTAATGTGTTGCGATAATATTTAACCCACCTTCCATTTTCCCTCTCTTTCCCCCTATGCTGGCTCCATTCAAATAGTTCCCCCTTTTATATATATTTTATATATTTCTATACATAAGATATATACATAATGCATGCATATATAACATATAGGTCTAGATTCTGCATAGGAGAGAAAAATAATATTTGTTTTCTGAGTTAAGCTAATTTTGATGATCTTCAGTTCCATCAATTTTCATGCAAATGACATAATTTCATTCTTCTTTATGGCTTTGATACTCCATTGTGCATATATACCACATTTTTTATCCATTCATCAGTTGATGGGCACTCAGTTTGAGTCCATAATTTGGCTATTGTAAGTAGTGATGCAATAAACATGGGTACGCAGGAACCCATGCTGACTCACATTCCCTCATTTATATTCCCAGGAGTGATAAATGAGGATAACATGATACGTCTGTATTTTCTGTGGGACTGGGGATTGAACTCAGGACCTCACACTTGGTGGGCAAATACCCTACCACTTAAGCCATGCTCCTGTCTTTTGCTTTTGGTAGGTTTCTTAGATAGGGTCTCACACTTTTGCCTTGGATGGCCTTATACAGGAATCTTCCTACCACTGCCACATGAGTATCTGGAATTAAGGAATGAACCACCATTCCAGCTAGTTCTGGCTATCAGGTCTTGCTAATTTGGCCTAGAATAGCCTCAAACTGAGATCCTTCTCCCAAAGAGTTTGGGTTACATGCTTGCCTCATACTTCCATCGTTAGTTTTTTAAGGAACCTCCATACTGAATTTCATAGTGGCTGCACTAATTTACATTTCCACAAAGAGTGTGTAAGGGTGCCTTTTTCTCCACATCCTTAACATCCAGCATTTGTTGTTTGCTTTCTTGATGACGGCCATTCTGATGGGGATGAGATAGAATCTCAGTGTCATTTTTTATACTGTAATTTACTTTTTTTTCTTTTATTCACATGTGCATACAATGATTGGGTCATTTATCCTCCCTTCCCCCACCCCTCCCTTGCTTACCACACCCCTCCATCTCCCTGCACCCTCTCGCTACCAAGCAGAAACTATTTTGCCCTTATCTCTAATTTTGTTGAAGAGAGAGTATAAGCAATAATAGGAGGGACCAAGGGTTTTTGCTAGTTGAGATAAGGATAGCTATACAGGGAGTTGACTCGCATTGATTTCATGTACATATGTGTTACATTCTAAATTAATTCTTCTCAAACTAACCTTTTCTCTAGTTCCTGGTTCCCTTCTATTGGCCTCTGTTGCTTTAAAGCTTCTGCATTAGTTCCTTTGCATTGAGGACATCAAATGCAATCTTGTTTTTTCGGGGGATTTCTTGCCTATCCTCATACCTCCCTTGTGTGCTCTCTTCTCATCATGTGATCAAAGTCCAATCCCCTTGTTGTGTCTGCCCTTGATCTAATGTCCACATATGAGGGAGAACATACAATTTTTGGTCTTTTGGGCCAGGCTAACCTCGCAGAGGACGATGTTCTCCAGTTCCATCCATTTACCTGCAAATGATAAGATTTCATTCTTCTTCATGGCTGAGTAAAATTCCATTGTGTATAAATACCACATTTTCTTAATCCATTCATCAATAGTGGGGCATCCAAAAGATCAAAAATCATATGTTCTCCCTCATATGTGGACATTAGATCAAGGGCAAACACAACAATGGGATTGGACTTTGAGCACATGATAAAAGCGAGAGCACACAAGGGAGGGGTGAGGATAGGTAAGACACCTAAAAAATTAGCTAGCATTTGTTGCCCTTAACGCAGAGAAACTAAAGCAGATACCTTAAAAGCAACTGAGGCCAATACAAAAAGGGGACCAGGAACTAGAGAAAAGGTTAGATCAAAAAGAATTAACATAGAAGGTAACACACACGCACAGGAAATCAATGTGAGTCAACTCCCTGTATAGCTATCCTTATCTCAACCAGCAAAAACCCTTGTTCCTTCCTATTATTGCTTATACTCTCTCTACAACAAAATTAGAAATAAGGGCAAAATAGTTTCTGCTGGGTATTGAGGGGGTGGGGGGAGAGGGAGGGGGCGGAGTGGGTGGTAAGGGAGGGGTGGGGGCAGGGGGGAGAAATGACCCAAGCCTTGTATGCACATATGAATAATAAAAGAAAAAAATTAAAAAATAAATCTTCCTCTTAGCACTGCTTTGCTGGGTCCCAAAAGTTCTGGTATATTTTCATTTTCAATTGATTCTTGGAATTTTTTTATTTCACACCTTATATTTTGATGACTCATTTATCAATCTTGTATTTTTAGGGTTGCATATATCTTCCTCTTTGTAGGATTCCTTTAAATATCTTCTGCAGTTCTGGATTAGTAATAATGAATTGCTTTTGTTTTTTATTATGTAAGGTTTATATTTCTCTCTCAATTATGAAGGAGAGCTTTGCTGGGTACAGTGCTCTAAGAAGGCAGTTATTTTCTTTCGGGTCCTGAAATACATCATTCCATGCCCACCTTCCTTTTAATGTTTCTATTGAGAAATCTGCTGCTATTCCCAGGAGTTTTTCATTGTAGGTGACTTGGCACTTCTCTCTGAAAGTTTTCAGTATTCTTTTCTTATTCTGTATATCTAATATTTTCAGTGTAATATGTCTTTGATAAGTTATTTAGTCCTTTCTATTTGATTGCCTAAAAGCCTCCTGTTCATAGATACCCATCTCTTTCTCAAGATTCACGAAGTTTCCAACTATTACTTTGTTGAGTGTATTTTCTACGCCTTTCACTTGTACCACTTGTTCTTCTTCTATGCCCATGATTCATATACTGGTCTTTCAATGATTTCCCAGGGGTCCTGCATATTCTTTCATCCTTCTTTATTGCTTTTTATTTTTATCTTAATGTTCTAATGCATCTACCTTGTCTTCAAGTCCTAATATTTTGTTTTCAGATCATTCCCATTTACTTTCAACTGGGACTTAGTTTTTATTTGACTTGTTGAGTTTACATTTCTAGAATTTTAAATAGATTTTTTGGGGGGATTTCTAAATCTTTATTGATTTCTTCTTTCATATTCTGTGTTGTTTTCCTGTACCTTTGTCTTTTGAATTTTCTCAATTAAATCAGAATGTGAGCTGACAATTGATGGTTCTTTCATGTCCTTGAAGCAAGACAATTGAAATCTGTGTATCAGGAAGAATTTATGTACAAATCTTTTAATGAGGTAGTAGATAGCTGGCACTCAAAACAGTTTGAGGGCTTTCTTTGGAGCTAAGTGCTCTTGTGTAGTTGAAAAGATATATTATCAGATAAACAATTAATCAGTAGTGGAGGCCATGATAGAGCACAGAATTTTAAAAAGGAACAAAAAGAAAAAAATCAAATAGCAGTTTTACCAAATATTTAACTGAGTTGTACAGGGCTGATAAATATAAACTAGCATGAAGATCAAAATATTAAGAAGCATATCTTAACATCACATATTTTAATCATTGTCAAGTACAGTGCACACTCACTTCACATTTGTGGTCATGTTTTCATTTATTGTATATATTTAAATAAGTAATATTTATTTTTAAAATTTTGAAGTCCAACAAGCCAATGATGGAAATGATGTGTTGGTTTTTAAAGATATAAACTATATTTGACTGAGCAAGTGCATTTTGACAGGGAAATCATAAAATCAAAGAAAAAATGACACCCTAGAATACCCCTAGAATATAACTGATGCATAAAAATTCAGCCAGACCATGGACTCTTGCCTTAATTAACATGCAGATATTTCAGTTCTAGCTCTGGGTGTCTACAAATATTCTAATAAAATGGGATTCATACTATTGTTTTTTAATAAAATGATATGTGTTCAGGAGCTTCTTAATTTCTTTTAATAAGAATGATTTTCCTTACACAGAGAAGAGTTTCTCTCATTTGTTAGGTTGTCTTAAATGAGAGGGATGCATTTAACTGTGGAGATCAAAATGTTATAGCTAGTATTCTTGATCTTCTGGCATTTCTCAATTGAGTTTCCCAAATATAGATGTGAATAGAAGGAGGTAAATAACACAGAAAACAAAAGATAAATAATTCCAAGAAAACTGGTGTTCTCACAAACCAGTATTATTGCCAAAGTTTTGGAAAACTTGAATTCAAAATATATACAGAAATCCAGGTGCCTCTTTACTTCTTTTTTCCATCTTTTGTTCTTTTTCAAAAGGTGCCCCAGCAATACATAAACATAATCTAACAACAGTCTCAAAATTCCATCTCTTCTGTCAGAGGAGTCAAACCTGCAGCCCATCCTCTTTGGACTTTTCCTGTGCATGTACCTGGTCACAGTGCTTGGAAAGCTGATCATCATGCTGGCTGTCAGCTGTGACTCCCACTGCCACACCACAATGTACATCTTACTCTCCAACCTGTGTTTGACTGACATCTATTTCATCTCCATGATCCCAATGGTGATTGTGGACATTCAAGTTCACACTAGGGTCATCTCCTATGTGGGATATTTGACACAGGTGTTAATTATTCTTATCTTGGGTGTATATAGAGTATGCTTCCGACTGTGATCACTCATGACCAATTTGTGGTCATCTATCAGCCTATGCATTCCCAGTCAACATGAACCTTTGGGCTTTGTGTCTATTTAAGGCTGATGTCCTTTTTAGTTATGTCTCTCATCAAGGGTGCACATAATGCTAATTTCTTCTTTATCTTGCCTATTCTGATACTTTTACTAATAATACTGTTATGATTTTTGTTGCCATCACTGGATTTCTACCTATTCAGGGATGTTTTTCCCTTACCACAAAATAGTTTCTTCATGATCAGACTTCCACCTATAAGACTTACCTCTCCATAGGTTTACTTTTTAAAACACTGTTGTGGAATACTGAAAATATGCAGTAGAATCAGTGTTGTAACCACTGGTAACACCTATACTGAATCCCTTAATCAATAGCATGAGGAACAGGGGACATTTAACACATCCTGAAGTGGCTCCACAGGGAAAATGTCTAATCTCTAATGACTTGTGGCATTCATTTGGAATATAGTTTGGAAAAATAGGCAAAAGTAAGCATCTAGTCATGTAAATTCAATCTGCTTTCATTGCAATACTTTTGTAGTTTGTGGACTTTAGTACCTTATCTTTTTTTCATATCAGAATGGAGATGGCCAGGATTGACTATGGAGGAATTGGAAGTTTCCTTTTTACTCACAATAGTAGTTTAATACCTGTCCTCTCAAATTATAATAGCCAGCATAATACAAAACAAAGTGAAAAATGATAGGCATGTAGACATATAGCTATTCCTCATATCAAACTAGAGATTGGTATTTTTATCTTTGTTTTTTTTTTATTTTTTTATTATTGTGCTGGTGGAGGTACATTGGAATACTTGCAAAATTCTTACAATGTGTCAAATACATCATAATTGAATTCACACCCTCCACAGCTCTCTTTCATCCACCCAACCCTGATTTCTGCAACAGTTTCAACAGGTATCATTTTTGCATTTACTTACATGTGTATACATTATTTGTGCTCCCTCCCTACCATCCTACCCTCCTTCCCTTGCCTCTGGGCAGAACCTGTTCCACATTCCTGTTCTCTGATTTTATAGAAGAAAAAATGTAAAAGGTAATAAGAAAAACATGGCATTTTTGCTAGTTTGAGTAAAGATAGCTATATAGGGAGATTCCTTGTGTTGTTCCCATGCATATGTTTATTACAACCCAAATTGGTTCATCTCTACCAAACCATTTCATTGTTCCCTAGTGCCCTTCCCATAGTGGCCTCTTCCACTTTAATATTACTATATTCCCTCCTCTACAGTGAGCACATCAACCACATTCAATTTTTTGTTTCCTTTCCTTGCCATGTCCCTCCTGTGCACTGCTCTCCCCTTAGTGTGTGAACCATGTCCAGTAATATTGCTGCAATTGTTTTAGGTCTATAATCAACATATGAAGGTGAACATGTGATTTTTTGGCATTCTGAGCCTGACTAACTTCACTTAAGATGATGTTCTCCAGTTCCATCCATTTGCCTGAGAACCACAAAATTTCATTCTTCTTTGTGGCTGAGTAAAATTCCATTGTGTATAAATACCACATTTTCTTAATCCATTCATCAGTAGTATCCTGGCTATTTCCATGGCTGTACTATTGTGGATAGTGCTGCAATAAACATGAGTGTGCAGGTGTATTTGTAGTAATCTGACTCACGTTCCTTCAGATAAATCCCTACAAGTGGGATTGCTGGATCATATGGCAGACCTATGTTTAGTTTTTTAAGAAGCCTCCATATTGTTTTCTGAAGTGGTTGTTCTAGCTTACATTCCCACCAGCAGTGTATGAGGGTTCCTTTTCTCCCGCATCCTTGCCAAAATATGTTGCTGGTGGTGTTCTTGATGGCAGAAATTCTAACAGGAGTGAGGTGGTATCTTAGTGTGGCTTTGGTTAGCATTTCCTTTATGGCAAGCAATGGTGAACATTTTTTCATGTGTTTTTAGTCATTTGGACTTCTTCCTTTGAAAAATCTCTATTTGCTTCAGTTGCCCATTTCTTTATTGGGTCATTGGTTTCCTGGGAGTTTAGTGTTTTTTATTCATTTATTCATTTTTTATTCATTTATTCACATGTGCATACATTGGGTCATTTCTCCACCCTGCCCCCTCCCCCACTCTCTCCCTCCTTCCCCCCTCAGTTCCAGGCAGGTCCTTTTCTGCCCTCATCAATAATTTTGTTGAAGAAATGACAAAAGCATAATATGGAAGACAAAGCATTTTTGCTAGTTGAGTTAAGGATAGCTATACAGAGAGATTCCTAGCATTGCTTTCATGTACCCATGTGTTACAACCCAAGTTGATTCATCTCTAACTGATCTTTACACTGGTTCCTGATCCCCTTCTCATAATAACCTCTCTCACTTTAAGGTTTCTGTATTAGCTCCTCTGGAGTGGGGACATCAAATGCTTTCATGTTTTGGATTTTCTACCTATTCCTATATCTCCCATATGTGCTCTTCCTTCCCTTGTGATGTGATCCAAGTCCAACCACATTCCTGCATTTGCCCAAGATCTAAAGTCCGCATATGAGGGAGAACATGCAATTTTTGGTCTTCTGAGCCTGGCTGACCTCACTCAGAATGATGTTCTCCAGTTCAATCCATTTACTTCAAATGTAAGGAGTTCAGCTTTTTGAGTTCCCAGTATATTCTGGTTATCAGTCCCTTGTCTGATAGATAGTTAAGAAAGATTTTTTTCCCATTCTGTGGGTGGCCTCTTCAATTTAAAGACCATTTCTTTTGTTGTGCAGAAGCTTTTTAATATCATGTAGTCCCATTTGTCAATCCTTTTTCTTATTTGCTGAGCTGCTTGAATTCTATTGAGGAAGTCGTTGCCTATGCCTATGGCTTCCAGTGAATTCCTGACTCTTTCCTGTACTAATTTCAAGGTTTCAGGTCTGGTATTAAGGCCCTTAATCCACTTTGAGTTGATACTAGTACAGGGTGACAGGCATGGAAAACTGAAGAAAACTTCAGGCAGATAACCAGTTTCCCCAGCAACATTTGTTGAAGAGGCTATCTTTTCTCCATCATATGTTTTTGGCATCTTTGTCAAAAATAAGGTGGACATAGGTGTGTGGATTCATATCCAGGTCCTCTATTCTGTTCCACTGGTCTTCATGTCTGTTTTTGTGCCCATACCATGCTGTTCTTATTGTTATGGCTCTGTAGGATAGTTTCAAGTTGGGTATTGTGATACCTCCAGCATTGCTGTTTTTGCTCAGTAGTACCTCAGCTACTCCCAGTCTTTTGTGCTTTCAATGAATTTTAAGATGGATTTTTCAATCTCTGTGATGAATGTCATTGGGATTTTGATGGGAATTACATTGAACATGTAGATTGCTTTTAGTTGTATAGCCATTTTTACTATATTGATTCTGCCAACCCATGAGCATGGGAGATCTTTCCATCTTCTTTGATTTCTTTCTTCAGTGGCTTGTAGTTTTCCTTGTAGAGTTCATTCACATCCTTTTTAAGTTTATTCCAAGGTATTTGATTTTTTGAGGTTATTACAAATGGAATTGTTTTCCTACATTCTTTCTTAATCTGCTCATTGTTATTGTTTAGAAAGGCTATTGATTTTTGTAAGTTGATTTTTTATCCTGCTACTTGGCTAAAGATGTTTATGGTGTCTAGAAGTTTTTAGGTGGAGTTTTTCAGGTCCTTAAGGAAGAAGATCACGTCACTGCAAATAGTAGTAGTTTGACTACTTCTTTACCTATTTGTATTCCTTTTATTTCTTCTTCTTACCTTATTGCTCTGGCTAAGAATTCCAGGACTGTGTTGAATAGGAGTGGGGATAATGGGAACCCTTGTCTCATTCCTGATGTTAGGGAAAATGCTTTCAGTTTTTCCCCATTAAGTTTGATGTTTGCTATAGGTTTGTCATACGCACCCATTTTAATGTTGAGATGCATTCCTTCTATTCCTGATTACCTCAGAGCTTTTATCATGAAATGGTGTTGAATCTTATTGGAAGCTTTTTCTGCATCTGTTCAAATGATCAAGTGGTTTTTGTCTTTGCTTCTATTAATATGCTGTGTTACATTTATTAATTTGTGTATGTTGAACAATCCCTGCATCCCTGAAATGAAGCCAACTTGGTCATGGTGTGTGATCTTTCATATATGTTGTTGAATTTGGTTTGCCATTATTTTATTGAGGATTTTTACATCGATGTTCATTAAGGAGATTGGCTTGCAGTTCTCCTTTTGGATGTGTTCTTGTCCAGTTTTGGGATGAGTGTAATACTGGCTTCATAAAATTAGTTAGGCTGTGATCCTTCCCTTTCTATTTTGTGGAAAAGTTTAAGGAGAGTTTGTATTAGTTTTTCTTTAAAGGTCTGATAGAATTCATCAGAGAATCTATCAGTTCTTGGATTCTTTATTGCTGCTTCAATTTCATTGCATGTTATAGATCTATTTAGGTGATTAATATCATCTTGGTTCAGTTTCGGATGGTCATAACTGTTTAGAAACTTATGCACTTCTTCTAGATTTTCCAATTTATTGGAATGTAGTTTCTCAAAGTAGTCCCTGATGATTCCCTGGACCCTTGGTGTTTGTTGTTATCTCCTCTTTTTCATTTCTGATTTTACTAATTTGGATCTTTTCCCTCCTCATTTTAGTCAGATATGCCAGGGGCTTTTCAATCTTATTTATTTTTTTGTTTTGTTAATTTTTTGTATGGTCTTTTTTTGTCTCTATTTCATTGATTTTGGCCCTTATTTTTATTATTTATCTCCTTCTTGTTTTAGGATTAGCTTGTTCTTGTATTTCTAGGAGTTTGAGATGTAGCATTAGGTCATTTATTTGATATCTTTCTGTGTTTTTAATATATGGCTATAAATTTCCTCTTAGGACTGCCTTTGCTGTGTCCCACAGGTTTTTGATAGGTTGTGTTTTCATTTTTATCAAATTCCAGAAAAATTTTTATTTCCTTTCTTATTTCATCAATGACCCACTGATCACTGAGCAATTTGTTGTTCAACCTACAATTGTTTGCATGTTTTCTGCTGTTGCTTTTGTTGTAGAGTTCTACTTTTATTGCAAATATGCAGGGGGTTGTTTCAATTTTCTTATATGTGCTGTCTTGCTTTGTGCCTTAAGATATGGTCTATTTTGGAGAATGTTCCATGGGCTACTGAGAAGAATGTATATTGTGCTGTTGCAAGATGGAATACTCTGTAGACATCAGCTAGGTCCATTTGATCTATTGTGTCATTTAGGTCTAGGATTTGTTTGTTGATTTTTTTTTTATTGGGATGACCTATCTATCAGTGATTGGGGAATAGTAAAGTCTCCCACTACCACTGTGTTGGAATCTATATGTGCTTTGAAGTCCTTTAGTATATGTTTGATGAAATTTTGTGCACTGATATTAGGCATATATAAGTTGATAATTGTTATTTCTTCTTCATGTTTTTCTCCTTTTATTAGTATGAAATGACCTTCTTTGTCTCATTTGACCAATGTAAGTTTAAAGTCTACATTGTCTGATATAAGTATTGCTACTCCTGCCTGTTTTGTGGGCCATTAGCATGTTAATTCTCTTCCAGCCTTTCACCCTAAGCCAGTGTTTATTTCTGTCAATAAGGTGGGTCTCTTGTAAACGACAGATTGTCAGGTCTTCCTTTTTAATCCAGTTTGCCAAACAGTGTCTTTTGATAGGGGAGTTGAATCGATTGACATTCAATGCTAATATTGATAGGTATGTAGTGATTCCTGCTATTTAGTGTTTTTGTCATTGAAGGATGTAAGTGTATGCAGCCGAATCAATGCTACTATCTGATTACTTGTCTTCTCTTCTGTGGTTTAGTACTTCCCATTCTCTCGTGGTTTTGTTTCCCTTCATCTTCTGTTTGCAGAATCTTCTGTAGTGGTGGCTCTTGGATATATAGTTTGAGTTTCTATTTATTGTGGAAGACTTTTATTTCTCCATCAATTTTGAATTATAGTTTTGCTGAGTAGAGTATCCTAGTACTGAAATTGTTTTCATTCAGTGGTCAAAATACCTCACTCTGTGCCCTTCTTGCTTTTCTAGTTTCTATTGAGAAATTTGCTGTTATTTTTATG